AGCCAAAATCAAGAGTCAGACACTTGACCAACTGAGCCACGCAGGTGACCCCCTTCTCTTTTTTTAAAATATTTATTTAAGTGTCTCTGCACATAACCTGGGGCTTGAACTCACAATCCTGAGATAATAAAATCACACGCTCCCGCAACTAAGCCAGGCAGGCACCCCTGTTCTTAATTCTCTTAACTTCTCCAAGCCTTGGTTTCCTCATCTGGTGGATGAGTCCAAACCACTGTATTTACTCCAAAAGGTGGTCTTGGATGCCAAGCACTGAACACAGAGCCTGGTGCATTTTAAACACTCAGTGTTACTACTGTTTATGAGCTAAATTCACAGAGGCTCAGAAAGGGGTCCTGCCTTTCCCAGTGTTATTACACAGTGAGCTGGTCAGCCCTCAAAGCTGGCTCCTCCCATGTTCTCCATTCAGCAGTCCAGCTGTCTCTATCCTCCCCATCCTTCTCTCCAGACTGCCCATACCTCAGCTACCCTATTCCTGCCCTTCTGCAATCCCTCTGGGCAGTGCAGCCCTGCCTGCTCGAATATTTATCTGGCCTAGCCCCTGGATAAATAGCTGGGCCCAGACAGCGGGCAGAGGGCTCAATGTATCTGAGCAAGTGCTGGCATCTTCCATTTAGGAGGGACTGATCCCAGGTGAAGGGTAGGGGATTCCAGAGTTTTGACCCTGGGCTTAGGCAGTCCGGAGTTGGAATCTCTGCAGCAGCGTGTGAAACCATTCTGAGCCTCATTCTCCTCATCTACAAAATGGGCTGATATCTGTGTTGGGAAAATGAAATGATATCATTTATTCATTCAGCACATATTTCCTGAACACCTAGTTCATGCTAGGCCCTGTGCTGAGGGTGCTCAATGAGGAAATATACAGAAAGGGACCTGGGTACCAGAGGCAGAGTGAAGGGTAATCAGGGAGGCTCTGGGTCAGAAAGATTTTAAGTTCAAGTTCCAGCCAGCCCACTCACTGGCAGTGCCACTCTCCTTGAGTCCTGCCTCACCCCTCTGGGCCTTAGTTTCTCCATTTGTAAATGGAGATATTAATGGCAGGTATGGGAGAATGTTTCAAGGAATCTGGCATTGCCTTGGGCTCAGCAGTTTATGGTTAGGGGGTAAATGGATGATAGTGCCAACTTGGCAGTGGTGGGCAGAAGTAAGGAGGTCACCTTGGTAGAGATACATAGGTCCCTGAACTTCACCTTCCTCTCTTACCTCAAAATCTTTATCTTATGACCACTGTCTGTAATTAGATTGAAGGGGAAAAGAAAACAAGAATGTCCCACAGGTTAGGAGACCCAGGAGCCCAGGAGAAGCTTGCCTGGGCAAGTCAGTGCTGTTTTCCAGCCTCAGTTTCCCCACCTGTAAAATGAGAGATTGATAAAACTGCACAGTTCCTGTGGAAGAAAGTCTGGCAGGTCCTTGAAAAGTTAAACATGGAATTACAATAGGACTTAGTAATGTCACTCGTAAGTATAGACCCAGGAAAAGGGAAGACATTCATCCACACAAAAACTTGTACATGAGTGTTTACAGCAGCACTATTCATAATAGGGAAATGGTGGAAACAACCCAAATGGCCATCGATGGATGAATGAATAAACAAAATATGGTCTGTCCACACAATGGGGTATCACATAGTCATAAAAAGGAATGAAACAGGGGCACCTGGGTGGCTCAGTGGGTAAAGCCTCTGCCTTCAGCCCCGGGTCATGATCTCAGGATCCTGGGACCATGCCCCTCATTGGGCTCTCTGCTCTGCGGGGAGCCTGCTTCCCCCCTCTCTCTCTGCCTGGCTCTGTGCCTACTTGTGATCTCTCTCTGTCAAATAAATAAATAAAATTAAAGAAAAAAAAAGGAATGAAACATTGATACATCCTATAATGGGACCAGCCTTGAAAACACCAATCTTTTTTTTTTTTAAAGATTTTATTTATTTATTTGACAGACAGAGATCACAAGTAGGCAGAGAGGCAGGCAGAGAGAGAGAGGAGGAAGCAGGCTCCCCGCTGAGCAGAGAGCCCGACGTGGGGCGATCCCAGGACCCTGGGATCATGACCTGAGCCGAAGGCAGAGGCTTTAACCCACTGAGCCATCCAGGCACCCCAGTTCTTTTTTTAAAATTTCTCCCTTCAGGGGCACCTGGGTGGCTCGGTGGGTTAAAGCCTCTGCCTTCGGCTCAGGTCATGATCTCAGGTTCCTGAGATAGAGCCCCGCGTCGGGCTCTCTGCTCAGCGGGGAGCCTCCTTCCTCCTCTCTCTGCCTGCTTGTGATCTCTGTCTGTCAAATAAATAACTAAATAAAATCTTTAAAAAGAATAAAATCTTTAAAAAAAGTTTCTCCCTCCAATTATTTTTATTTTATTTTAATTTTTTTTTACATTTTCTTAATTAACATATACTGTATTATTAGCCCCAGGGGTTCAGGTCTGTGTATCGTCAGGCTCACACACTTCACAGCACTCACCATAGCGCATACCCTCCCCTATGTCCATAACCCAACCACCCTCTCCCTAGAAAATACAAATCTTGAAAATAAAACAGCAAGTTATTTTACCGGCAAAATAGGTTTATTCAGGAATAGCAGAGGAATGGCAACTCAGAACACTCAGGCTATGACAAAACTCTTGGCAAAATGGAACAAAGAAGTTGAAACATTACCTCAGGGAGGAGGAGGAAGTTGGGAGGGGCTGCTTTGGAGGAAAGTAAGAGTTCAAGGTAGTGACAGTTTCTCATTGGCTGAGTTGCATTAGGTTCGTTGGCTGGGCTATTGCTGGGCCAGGGGAAAATCATCCTTCATCTTGCTGGGGTAGCAAAGTAGACTCCTTCCTGTTGGGGTTTGCATTTGAAAATGAGTCAGTAGGGTACAGAGCTCCCTCTCCTGACCTCCTGACTTCATTTATTTACTGAGAGAGAGAGAGAGAGAGAGAGAGAGAGAGAGAGAGAAGGGGCAGGGAGTGATGGAGAAAATCTTAAGTAGGCTCCATGTCCAGTGAAGAGCCCAACTTGGGGCTTGATCTCACAACCTGCGATCATGACCTGAGCCAAAATCAAGAGTTGGGCGCTTAACCCACTGAGCCACCCAGACGTCCCTGACTCGATTTTAAATGAGGTTGCCTTCATTCAGTTTCAAAAAAACATCATGCTGGGGCGCCTGGGTGGCTCAGTGGGTTAAGCCTCTGCCTTCGGCTCAGGTCATGATCTCAGGGTCCTGGGATTGAGCCCCCAGTCGGGCTCTCTGCTCAGCGGGGAGCCTGCTTCCCTTTCTCTCTGTGGGCCTTTCTGCCTACTTGTGATCTCTCTCTGTCAAATGAATAAATAAAATCTTAAAAAAAACCCACATCATGCTGAGTTTTTCACTGAGTGCCAGTCACAGAAGGTCACATATGGTATGATCCCAGTGATATGAAATATCCAAAATAAGTAAAAGCATAGACACAGAAAGTTGGTTAATAGTTGCAGGGGCTGGGAAGGGAGGAATGCAGAGTGACCATTTTGGTGGGAAGGGGATTTCCTTAGCGGTGATAAAATTTTCCCCAAATGAGATAGTTGTAGTGGCTGCACAGTGGTCTATATGTACTAAATGCCACTGAATAGTACACTGTATTTATTACTTATTTAAGATTTTATTTATTAATCTGACAGAGAGAGGTACAGTGAGAGAGGGAACATAAGCAGGGGGAGTGGGAGAGGGGGAAGCACGCTCTCCGCACGCCCGGCTGTATCTCAGGACCCCAGAATCATGACCCCAGCAGAAGGCAGATGCTCAACGACTGAGCTATCCAGGTTCCCCTGAATAATATATTTTATTTATTTATTTATTTTTTGACAGACAGATCACAAGTAGGCAGAGAGGCAGGCAGAGAGAGACAGGAGAAGGAGGCAGGCTCCCTGCCGAGCAGAGAGCCCGATGCGGGACTCGATCCCAGGACCCTGAGATCATGACCTGAGCCGAAGGCAGAGGCCCCAACCACTGAGCCACCCAGGCGCCCCATATATTTTATTTATTTTTTAAAAAGATTTTTATTTATTTGACAGATCACAAGTAGGCAGAGAGACAGGCAGAGAGAAAGAGGAAGGGGAGCAGGCTCCCTACTGAGCAGAGAGCATGAGGAGGGGCTCCATCCCAGGACCCCGAGATCATGACCTGAGCTGAAGGCAGAGGATTAACCCACTAAGCCACCCAGGGGTCCCCTGAATAGTATATTTTAAATGGATTTTTGGTACCTTATGATACCTAAATGTTTTCTTAAAATGGGAAAGCTGGACAAACACCAGGTCTCAGGAACCTTGAGGATATAGAATTTTGTTCTATTAAAACTGTACTTTTATCACTAGCAAAATTTACCTCCTCCCCAACATCCTTAATGACCCAAAAGCCCCAGGCAGGGAATCCCATCTGCTTACCTTAAGGGAAGCTCCGCCAGCCCCACCCAGCGTCCAACGCGCACTTGGTTTGCATAGCCACGCCCATTCACTCCGTCAGCAGCCGGCCCCGCCCCCCACGTGTTTTGCACTGGCCCCGCCCCCTCTTTGCCCGGGCTCTCAACGGAAACCCAGGACAGAAGGCTTGGAGCAAACTCATAAATAATGCATCACGTCAGCAGGCAGTGGGGCGTGGCTTCGATCATTGCCTGGTGGAGCCAGGATCATGAATTATGCATATTGAGGCGGGGTCTGAAGGTGTGCGCGTGTCGGGGCGGAGTCTGGGCACGGAAGTGGTCCCCTCTGGGGTCTTGAAAGGTGGGGCCATCCACGCCTCATGAATATACAGCACCTCGGGGCGGTGACTGTGAACTTCGCCAGGCCCATAGGGGGCGCGACCAGCTGCATTCATGAATAATGCAGCAATCGGCGGGCCGCGCAGAGGTGACCGTGGGTTTCACTAGAGCCATAGGGGGCGTGGTCAGCCGCGTCTCATGAATAATGCAGCGCGTCAGCGGGCGGCGGGGCGGGGCGGGGCTGGCGCGCCGGCGCTGGAACCGGGGAGGGGGGGCGGGGGAGCGATGGTCGCAAGATGGCGGCGCTAAAGGAGGCTCGGAGCTACGGGCTGTCGTGCGGGCGGGTCAGCGACGGCAGCAAAGTGTCCGTGTTCCACGTGAAGCTCACCGACAGTGCCCTGAGGGCCTTCGAGAGCTACCGCGCCAGCCAGGTGAGCGGAGCGGGGCCCGGAGCGACCGTCGGGGACGTCGAGGCGCAGGCCGGCCTCATGCGCCCCTCGCGGAGGCGTCCTGTCCTGGGGGCGCGGGGTCCGGCGTCCGGCGTGCTGCTCGCGGGTCCCTGGACCGGCAGGTCGCGGGGTGAGCACCTGTCCGGCTTGGAGCGTGGGGAACCGCGTTCCCTCACGGCTCTGGGAGGTGACACCGGCAGGCGGCCCGGGGCGGCCAAGGGGCCCCGAGCTAGCGCATCTGGTCAGCGGTGGGGGGGGGGGCGGTGTTTGCGATTGAGTCGGCACCTGGAGGCGTCCGGAGCCTTCCCGGCTCACCCAGCCTCTGAGTAGGAACTGAGCTATTTACCTGGCTGGGGGGCGGGGGAGAGGGTTGGGGAGGGTTGAGGTTTTTCCGTCCGGGTCCCAGGCAGGGTGGGTCAGTGGGGCCCCGCTGTTGGGACATCTGTGGAGAACCTGTTCCGTCTGTGTGGGGAGGCTGAGTCTGCACTTGAGGGGGCTTCAACACCAATGAAGCCCTTGGAATTGGGCTCACTCTTGGTTCGAGGGAAGGGGAGTTTGGGCAGAAACTGACAGCTTGTTTGCAACCCCCCTGCTCCTCGCAGGTGACTCTGTCTTACTGGACAATTTTGGAGAATGGGAGTGTTTTGGTTTGGGGGAGAAGCTGTGCATGTGTGGGGGGGTCGCTGGCATGGTGCCTTTCCCAGGCTGGGAGCTCTTAGTGGGCACCTGGGAGGGAGCTCTGGCCACCGCACCTGGCCGCTGACTCTCAAACTTCTCAGGGGCCGATTTGGGTCCATCTGGGGGAAGTTAGAGGCGTTTCACTTCTGCCACCTGGCCCAGGGTGTGTGGGTTGGGGGAGGCTGCTGTGCACCTTCTTTCAGGCTTGATTTGCGGACACATCTGGGGCCCTGGTCAGAAACTTGCTTCTTCCCGTTTCTGTTTGTCATGGTGCCCTCTTTGTCGGGACAGAAGTTGCAGGTGCCCAGAGTGGTCAGGGCTTGAGGGGAAGTGGTTTGGGAGCCCTTTTCCTTGTTGTCTGGAAAGTGGGAGCTTTATAGTCATGAAATGGCTGGGGAAGGGTCTGGTGTCCGGCTCAGGGAGGCCCTGCTCCCTGTGTGTGTGTGTGTTTGTGTATACTGGGAATGGGGGGACTGAGGGCGGGTGAGGAGAGAGACTAACTAGGAAGGAATGTGGCTTTCTTCCTGCCCCAGACTTGTTCAGCACCATTAGCTAAGTTGGGAATTTCTTCCCCTGTTACGTTCCCACCACTTTCCTGGTGCCCACCCTTCCCGTGCTGCTTCCCACTTTTTTGGGGCAGTTTCCTTCCTGTCCTAGTATCTTTTATCATAGTTTCCCATTGGTAGAAGAGGTCTTCTTTTTCTTTTCTTTTCTTTTTTTTTTTTTTTTTAGAAGAGCGAGTTCTCCCCTTGTCAAAAGGATTCCTCAGGATGAGGCTAAGGTGCCCTTGCAGGTGAGAAGTTGGGGTGGGGGAACAACACACACTGTCCAGCTTAAGTTGCCCTTCCTTGTGGAATTCCAGTGTGGAGTCTTTTCCCTAGGCAATTCTGACTTGTCCTGCAGGAAGGCAGGCTTTCCTAGAAACAGCTGGGGGAGAGCTCATGAGTCATGTAAATAAGGTGAACTTGGTACCTGGTCACTTATGAGCCCCACCCTCCCTACCATGCTGCCCTCGCTTGATCTAGTCGTCAGGAAGGCCCGCCTATGTGTCCACCTCATGCTGTCACACGGCTATTTTTAATTTAGGGTGTTGGTTACATCCCCTAACTAAGCTGGATCTTCCTCATGTGAGGGTGAAGGTAACTGCAGACTCTAGCTCATCCCACTGGGAGCCCAGCTGTGGATGTCAGCCAGGAGGGGCTCCCTTGAAGAACTTCTCCAGGCCAGTTGGGGCATCTTGGCCAGCTGGGCTAAACTTTGAGGGTGACCCAATTTGCATTTTTCTCCGAAGCTGATAGGTCATTTAAGTTACTCGGCAGTTTCATATTTAACATTACTTGTTTGGGCATTGTAGTGGACTGAGCTAAAGTCAGGGCAGCTTGGGTGCTTTTGGGTGGTGGGGATAGGAAAAGTGACTTGAAGAACTGGTTTGTGTGACCAGAGAAGTGTATGGGTTAGTAAGAAAACCTCTTCCGCACAGACGTCAATAGTGTCTGGAGTTTTCTATCCTGTAGCACTGTGGTTATATGGTTTGCCAATGGCAACCTGTGGAGAGGGTTTTTATTTTTACTTTTAATTGCAGAGAGGCTTTTGCAGATTCAGATGTGGCAGGGGACTGGAGAGGAAGTTCCTGTGAAACTTTCTCTGTGGCCCAAGAGAGCCTGTAATCCTAGCTCTTGGAGGGAGCCTGAGTAAAAGTCCTCCATGGTTTCTCTCTCCAGAGTGGTATGGTGTCTGAGCTGCCTTTGTGCAGACCTGGTGGCCAGCCTGGAATGTGGCAGAAGATAACATATGCTGCCACCATAGACTTTGACTTCATGCAGTTTCTCTTTGAATTTAAAAAACTCGAGTGAGTCCTGATGTGGTTCCTCCTATAGATCTCCCTTTTCACTGTGATGGGCTACTTTTGGGAGAGAAGAGAGAGGAAGTGTAGACCCATCCTTCCAAGATAGCGTCATGTGCCTGCTCAGAGAAGTGTTCCCTGGCCACTCTGAGGAAGTGTCCCTTCTTGGGGCACCTGCCTCAACCACCTTGGTATTTCATTTTTGGATTTGGTGGGCTCTGTTGCTTAGTGACCTTCTCCTCTCCTGGTTTATAAGCTCCTTGGTGGAGAGGAGCATATTGTTGTTCAGTAAAAACTGAGGGCCCAGGGGAGGGGCTTAAGAAGCCTGAGGATTGTAGCCTAGCAGGGTTTAAATCTTGGTTCTATCTTCTTGAGGCCTCGGGCCAGTGCATGGCCCCCTCCCAGTCCCGATCTTCCCCTTTGGAGGGGAGGATCCCAGTGTCCAACCCTCTCCCAGCTCTGGATCCTTCCTGTCTTCAGGATTGTACACATCACAGTAGCTGACCCCTCCCAGCCCTGAGAGTCCTTCTCTCAGGGCTACAACATCCCAGTGCCCTATCCTTTTTGAGCTCTGGATTCTTCTCAGGTCTGGGAGGGTCCTACTGCCTGGCCATTTCTGAGCTCTAGATCCTTCTCCTCAAGCCTATGAGGGTCCCAGTACCCAACCCCTCCCAGCTCCAGATCCTTCTCTCAGGGCTGTGAGGGTCCCAGTGCCCGGCTTCTTTCTGATCTCTGGATCCTTCTCAGGACTATTGAGGGTCCCAGTGCCCTGCCCTGCCTAAGCTCTGGCTCCTTCTTCTCTCAGGGCTGTGGGGATTCTTTTGACACATGTGTGGCCATCAGTGCAGCCCTGACACCTTCCCCTCCCCCTGTGTTCTCAGCATTGGGGTGCCTGTACCCAGAGCTGGTTCCCACCTGGAGGTTTGAATAGAGACTGTGAGAGACAGGGAGCCTGGGCTCCTGCATCTGCCTTGGTCAGATTGAGCACCTGGTTTGTATAGGGCTCCTGCTCAAGTGCGGGACATTCAGGAGTGACCAGGATGGGCCCCTAGCATCATGAGCTGGTATTCTGGAGGCAGGAGACATATCGTGAACAGGGCAGCACAGAAATTGGTACAAAGAACTTGTCAGCAGTCAGCATCAGGAAGGAAATAGAATGGGGTGATGTGATGGTGCGGGGCGGTGCGAAAGGATACTGAGAGAGCTGCTTCTAGGATATGGCCAGAGCTGAGGTCTCCCTGGCGAGGGGTCCTTTGCAGGGAGGGGTGGGGGTTCCAGGCATGCTGCCTTCAAGCCTTAAGGCACAAGAGGCTGGGGAGGGTGTTGGGGCATAGAGGGCAGCTGCTGGGGCTCTGTCCTGGGGAACGGTGTGTGGGGAGAGGAGATGGAAGAGGCCTGGAGCAACTAGCCCATGACTCTTGCAGAGCCGTGCTAGGGGCTGCTCGCCTGCTGCTAAGGAGGCGGCTGTGTGGATGTCATCTCGGGCACTGGTGGCAGGAGGAGCCTTAATTTAGCCTCTGTTCCCCTCCCACAGTGAGGCTCCAGGAGGTAGGCTTGTCTCCCCTTTCTGGGGTGGGGGGTGCGCAGTGTGTCCTAAGCAGGGCAGCTTTCTCACCAGCGCTGCCTGCTTTTCAGACTGGCCATCTTCAGGAATAGCCGGGGCTGCTCCTCTCAGCTGTGGGCCAGGCCCCTCTAAGCCCTTTGTCCAGGCCTCTGTCATCTTGTCAGTGACCTTGGCAAGAAGGCTGGCTTATTGTTTGCCCTATGCATTGGGGGCAGTTGGAGCTCAGAGGGTCCTCTTCTACCTGCCCAAGATCACTCAGACTGCCTTCAGTGGCCCGGGCTGCTTCTTGAGTTGGGGGGAGATCTTGGGCCACTGGGGTGCAGCTAGGAAAGGGGGTCCCAGCATGGTCTCAGGTTCTTGTTAAACAGCAGCGTTCTGGACTCCTGCAAGCACCGGTGACTTGAGTGGCCGTGCAAATTCCTGAGGTTGCTGTAGTGCCTGTACTGTGCCCCCTGCCCCTGAGAAAGCCTAAAGATGGTGATAACCAACATCCGTGGATCACACCTCACATGCCAGCATGGGCCCGAGCTGCTGCACACACTCACTTATCTCACCCCGTCTGTCAGCCCTGCGGTGGGGAATGGTTCCCACCTGTCAGGTGAGGAAACGGGAAGAGACTCTAGGAGACCACATCACTGGAAGGAAATTCCCAGCTGGGACGGGACTGAGAACCAGGCATCAGGCTGGAATGGCACGTGTGGCTCCAAGCGCTGCCCCCTCTGAAGGGAGGTGGTCCAGCGGGGTGGGCAGCAGCCTGGCCCACTCGTGTTAGGGGCATGGCTTCCTGTCTCCTGCGCTCTGGCTGTAGGGGTTCAGTTTACATGTGTGTTTCGGAGTGGGCTCTTGGTAGTTCTGGGTGGGGTGAGTCCTTCCTCGAAGGTGCCTGTCTCATAGGCG